GTGGTTTTATGTCACCCGCAAGCGCGACTCGAAATACCTTCAAATTAGATTACGGCAGCTCCTACGCGCTTTAAGTTCTTTTACCGTTTCAGACCTCAGAATAAGCTTCAGAACATCGGGACTCAATATATTCAAAGGGTGTGTTTTTTTGTTCAATTTTCAGAAAATTTAGGAGACGGCGTTGTATTCATGGGGTCATTTGTCACTCGGAAAGGTTTTTTTTTTCTTTTTTTATTTGCAGGATAATTTAACCTCCCCATTATTAAAGGAGTGATGCAACAATTTTTCTACTTTGCGCAAATACCGCTTAAAACGGATCCCTAACGTTAATGCCCTATGGAACACGTGTTCGTTCTTCACCCCACGCAATAGAAGTCTCAGAAAAAAATTTAAGAAAAACGAGCAGCGTTCACCTCCTCAAGTCGCAGCCAGAACAAGCGGCCACGTGATCTGGAGCCGATTATATGCCGCCAATGTTGATCATAGCCACGCGCTGGGGTTGGCAAAGCACAGGACACGAGCTGAGTTCCAGACATTGTTATGGCTCGGCTGTTGTCGTCGTTGCAGCGATTGGACACGGGCCACTACCCGAATGCTTCTTGAACTATAGCAATTATCACGAGCCCAAGTCGAGTGCTCACGCAATGCTCGGGTCCAATCTATGAACCGCATTAAAATATCGTCACTTGGGTGTACTGCGATCCCCACGTTACGTCATCAAATTTTGCAAAGGAGAGATTGAATGAAAATGATCGCTTTTGTCCTTGAAATTACACCGCAACAAAGGAGTTTCTTGGCCAGTGGCGTTGCGTGTGGGTATCCTTGAGTCCCAGGTGTGCCAGTAAGCTCGTGTAGAGTGAAAAACATTCCAATTGAATATCGTTGCACCCGTCCTTTAACTTGTGTTTTTTACAACTGCATGGAGTAAAGTTTCAGCACGCTTTGTCGAGGAACAACCACCTTTGGTACATGCTTTGATAGTTTGGGAATCAGAGATCCTATAACAAAATGATAACTTTGAGACAGACATAGTTAGCGCGACCACGCCTTCGGGGTTATTATTAAAACTGTCCATTAAAACAAGTAAAACGTCTATTAAAACAATTGTATATATATTCAGAAGTCTCTAAATCAAAGTGTTAATGTATGGTTGTAGCATGAAAACTTAGGAAATAATAAAGGAACGCTAACCAATCCCTACAAAACTAGGGTCCCAACGTTTCAAAACCGACTGCGTTCTTCTTCAGGCGTGACTTACACCCCATTCCCACGGCCAGCATAGAGGTTCCTTTAACATAGGTTTCATTTCAATCGGCGAAGCAGCCAGTGCTCTTGGGTCGCGAGCACATTCCGCGCGCGGAGGCAGATTCGCTGTCGACCAAAAAGGTCCCTGAGCTAAAGGGGCTTTTATGATCGTGTGAATGGGGTATTAATCATTGAAGCGCAAGAACTTTTTCTGATGGTTATGGTGATGCTTTATTTTTCTTCATCAGTAACGCTTAGCGCGTTTGTGTATACGGATGGTAAAGCGCCCAGAGATATACTGATGTTGTCTGGTGTAAGTTAGCTGTGTCATGATTCAATAAAATGTACTTGCCGGGGGTTACTCTCGACGTCTACAATGCACGTGTTCTTGAAGTCTATTCAGTTCTCTTCGATGTCAGAATGTTCCGCAACAGCATCGCGCTCGTGGTAAAAATTGCGCACATCGTTTTTGTGTTGGAGATGCCGAAGCCCCAAGGGGAAATTCTTTGATCTGCTGGTGTATTTGGCGGGTCAATCAGAGCAGGGAATTCTGTAGACGACTCTCTATTTATTTTCTTTAGGGGACGATCTTTTGGCCATGGCATAATTCGTCCCATTGTTTACAGAGGCTTGTGGGCTACCTTAATTCCATGTTTTGTTAGGACGCGTGCCAGTGACCCTTTATTTAGGGCACGCCGCTGTGTGTAGTTTTTTTCTTCTTGATGTGCGCGCCGGTGAGTCCGACCTTAAAGCGCGAAACACATGTACGACGAAACCTTCCGATCCGACGTGCGGACTGCCGGAATGACCTTGGGGGGCGAGGGTTTTCGTAGCATCGGAGAGCGTTGAAAACCCTCGCCTCCGACCGTCGTATTGCGTGGTCGGACGTCGGATCGGACGGTTTCGTCGTACATGTGTTTCGCGCTTAACTGCAGACAACTCGATGAATAAAGCTGTTGGTTTAGCCGTTCTTGAGATCTGGAATGACAGTCTCTTCTTCAAATTTCTTCTGTCTCCAATGAGCAGATGGTCCTCGCTCTGGAGAAGAGTGTCGATGCCACCGATGCTTTGTGACTCGTCGGATGTTTTGAATCAAATCAAACCTTCGTGCGTTGGCTTCCGATATACAGAATACACGACTTCATCTTTTCTCTTGATCAGTACATCGAGGAAAGGCAGACTGTTGTTATTCTAGCAAATCCATGGTAAACTTAATGGCGGGCTTGATGAAATTGATATGGGCGAGAAAGCTGTCTCTTTGTCTGTTTTTTGAGGATGCAGAAGCAGTCATCGAGGTAGCGGAGTAACTCTTTAGGGCTTGCAGAGAAAGACTGCAGGTCACGTTGTTTGATGTCTTCCATCGTAAGGTTTGCCATGATGACGGAAATGAGTGCGCCATAAAATCGCATGCTTTATTCATTGCTTACGCTTATGAGACTTCGGTTCCAACTGAAGGAACTTCCTGACCACAAATCGCAGAGTAGGTCATTCTTTCTGAATTTACCATGATGCTGTGTCACATAATTTGATTAATAACTCCGAATGATAAGCTCCTCTACGGATAACCAATACTGCGTCAGAAATCAGGAGAGTGGGTGGAAACGCGCTGATAACGAAGATGAACGAGTTTTTGAAACTTGAAGAAATGGCGTTATTGTCGTATCATAATATCATGATCGAACTCAATTATGTTATCAAGAAATATCGTTGCAATCTGTTACAACAGGCGCATTTTTATTAACTGGGCAATGCATATTGTGCGAAGTGAGGCAGTCGCTTCTAACCACACTTCCCGCTTATAACGAACATTAAGTCAGTACGTTCAGTCAGCACAGCCTGTACATGAATCCACTCAGCCTTTGTTAAATGGACTCATTGTATTGGCTGAAGCGTTTTCTCTTAAAAATCCAGTCCTTTTTTTAAACTGAAAGATTTATTGTCACGTCGGATCACAACTGACATTTATCCTTTGAACATTTCAATATAGAAGCGCCGCCGAATTACGTGCACGCCTCTGAATCAACCGTCAGCTCTCTCACTGTGTCGATAAAAACGGTTGTTAGATGGCGTAACATTCTCGTTTGTTATCATTTTATTTTCCCGTACTAACCTTTTTTTATGTTTTAATCCCAAGCACCGGGCAGCCGTATGAGGCGGAAAGCACCGACTGACCTTTCTCTCTTTCGTAACACGCACCTACTACCATGAATGCCTTCACTAATCGCATCCCCGACAGTGTCATTTTGATCCTATCATCAGTTCTGATTCAATTACTGGTATGTCCTTGTCTTCTTTGCGTTCAGGGGCGTCGCGAACCAAAACACCAGCCCACGTATTGTTTTTTTTTTTTTTTTTTTGTCGCTTTTTGTTTAACACGTATGTTTTCTTTTTATTGTAATTGAGAGAAGAGAAAGATATAGACAAATAGAATTGCAACCTTGGCACATCCGAGTCGTTATATAATACGCGACCGCTGAAGCGAAGAATCGATGGCACGATAAAAGAAAATAAATATTTAGAAGCATTTCTTTCGTTTCTCGAGACTCGTCACTGGATAAACAAAACATTTCATTCACAAAACCCATTGCACAAGTCCCAGTTTTTTTTTTCTTCTTTTCTTTTTAAAGCTCGATTTTTGTTTCTTGTTAGCCGAAGTTCCACGCGGTTTGGTCTTGGTCGCACCACAGAACGCAGCGTCTGGAGCCCGATTGGATTAGACTCACAGAATAGTTTTCGGAGCACCCCATATTTTATTTTCGATAGTTTCTTCGTACCTCGAGTGCCGCCACAGGTGCTGGCCTCATTCGTCTTTGCGGCAGTGACAGTATCTGCGCAAAGTGACGAATAAAAATAAACGATTGTTTCCCACCGGGTGGGCACCAGTTTCTCCGCTTATGACGCCCTGCACTGTCAATTACCGTGGTTATTTCTTCCCTCTTTTAAGCGGTCGATACCACGAAGATAAAACTGGGGTTGCGCCCCCGGCCGAGACATCCACTAAACTGTCCAAACGTGGCACTCCGATTGAACCTGAAGGTAGCGTTAGCATAAGATTAGACGCCGGTGGATGTATCATTTCTATATGGTGAGCCTGGCGGAGCTCATTGGGTTTTTCAGGTGGCACGGTCAAGTCTTGCTTATGCTTCGTTTCGCGTCAAGTCCGACCGCAGACAACGCTACGATCCAATACGGCTAATCAAGCAGCGCCAAGAGAGTGTCGTCATGAATCTAGTCGTCTTCGTGCGTTGCTATACCAATCAGGCGCAGTGAATGCACCGCAGTCCTGCGTATGAATCGATGGATAGATGCCAACGGCGGTATCTTTTATATCGGGCGGTAATTTGCGCCATCTAGCCTAGAAATTAAGAACCAAAGGTACGACTCCGCCCTTTGCCCTTCTAAGCCAATTGGCTTCCCTTTCAAAGTGTTGTAACTATCACCGGGATAATCTTTATGGGATAGGGAAAAAAACTGTCAGCAACCATCAAATACAGCTAGAGCCGTGGCGAGGCACGTTTGGCGTTGCTTGAATGGTTCCGTCGGATCCTTACACCCGCTGCGGTGGAACTTAAAATGAAACGTAGTATTTAGTCAAAGTGCCCGCGGACGCTACTGCTCAGCTTTAGGGTACTCCGAAAACTATCCGATGATTCCATCGATGGTCTGTCTCGTATTAGCGGTGATCTTCATCCGTTGGAGGGTCGGATCGGCGCGTCTGGTTAACAACGTAGCACCAGGGCGGTCTCTTCTGGTCTTTAGACTGCGTCATCCTTGGCCGGTCCGTAGGCGCCGTTGACGAGGCGGTGTCCGGCGGTCAGGAAGCTTCCCTGAGGAGCCACCGTGGACGTAGTGGAGGCGAAGCTGGCGCAGCTGGCCCTGGGAGCGCGACCCTTGTACAGGCGCGTCGTCTCGTTCTGCTGCGCCACCTGCGAAGGCGGGAAACGGGGCGTTGTACGAGTGCGCCAGACGTCTACAATGTGCGGTTGGTAGGACTAGCACATTGGGCGCGCCTCGCAAAGTTCGCATTACAAACTAACATAGCTGAACCTGGGCACGCAAACGTTGTTTCGCAAAAAAAAAAGAAAACTTTCAGCCTTTTTCCTCTGGTGAAGAAGCAAGACCAGCGAAGCTATATGTATTATGGTGGGAATGAAGTAATAGCCGGCCGCAAATCTGCAAGCCAGAGTGGAAAGGCTCGAAAGGTTGCCGACATCTATGAGCGACGGCGGTAGCTGTCCAGAGTTCTGTGGCATCAGGTCATTTGAGAACGGACACAATCCTGGGGAATCTAGCCCTGAAGAACTCCGCTGTAAAATGTGTTAAGTCTATTTTTTTTATAGCTCAACTTGGAGCTGGCTAAATTTTAGAAAGTAAACAGCAAAAATAAACGCAGTCGATTTTTTATGTCTTATTGGGAGCGTGAGACACTTATGCGCGACTCCAGCAAAAGGGACGACACCTTGTGGGGAAACACTGAACTAAACGAAACAAATTCTTTCCCGATTTCAGCTCACCCCTTGTGGCTTCCCTGATTAAATGTTGTCGGTGGTTGGCGCGATGAAACAGTTGCTCCGATGACCCTGTTGTTCGCGTCATATAAGCTCGTTGCTCAGGTCACTCTGACCGCAACCTACGCTACCGTGTGAATCAGACATGGTGCGCTCATCAACGTTCATCAAAACCGCAGTCTTTGCGTCGCTCCGCCGAAAAAGATCAAGAATTTGGAAGCTCGTTTACTCTAGCTCATCGCCGCATGCAGGTTGGAAACGTAGCGAATAAAAATTGGCGCAAACCATTTTGTGTTCAATGCCTTTCTGCTGAGACCCGAGCGTTGTGCGTTGAGCTGGTACAGGGCACGGCATGACCTGTCTAAAACCGCCATATGTGTCTGATAGTGGCGACCTCCCTAGGTCGCTGGAATGGCTAATAGGGGTCGCACCGCACGCCTTGGCAGCTAAAATCCCTGTATTGGCAGCTGGTTGACAACTCCAGCAGTGACAGCGTGCACCTTAGGCCGCATAGTCTAGCGCTGTCCGCTCCAGCTTATGTTGCTCGGAACACCGCCATGAGTTTAGTTTCTCTGCACTAAAATATGACTCTACGAAGCGTTTGTGTGATGGACGGTCGATAAGTCACTTCGGGGCGACATCCATCAATGCCGGTAACTGAAAGAAAAAAAATCTACGTGAGAAGTCTTTTCCTCTTTCTTATTATAAAATTGCTCTTCGCTCGCTAGCGGATCGAGTAGACGTATAGTGGGATTGAGATGATCGCGGCGGCTTTCGCCGTCGGATAGGGGGATCTGTGATTTTACTTTTCAGGTCTTTTGTATAAAACCTTAACGCCGAGCGTGGCCCCGAACGTTTTGTATCGCGCTGGGCTCATGTAAACTGACATCAATTAAAAACTAAGGTTTTCTGCTACGCAGGTTGTCTCTGCCAGTCCGTCCGTGTTGAATGCGAAATGATTTTGCATGCTGGGGGTCACACCGCGGCGCCACTGTCTCGTCACGGGCTTCCAATAAGTGCAGAAGGGCCCACGATAGACTTAAAGGAACAGTGCAACAATTTCAGGGCTTTGCTTAAATAATTGTGGAAGTTGATGCCTGACACTTCTGCAGTGAACTACACATAACAGATTTTGCCTGGATACCCTAGTTTTTATTTTAAAAAATGAAAAAGATCCAGGTTTTTGCCACCTCTCAACTCGTGCATCGTCTTCCGGGTCACGTGCACAGTGACGTCACTTGAGTAGGCGCGGAGTTCCGGAAAAGTTCTCTCTTTAGAGCCATCAGCGAGCAGCGAGAACTCATCCGCTCGCGACCCCGTGACCACCCGTCCTTGCCCGTCCGGCGCTGTCCCCCTCCCCCTCCAGCTTCTGGCGGCTGTTCGCGGTTTTGTGGACCTAGGATAGATGGCGCCACTAGGATAGATGGCGCCGTATAATAAAAGTTTTGTCGATGATACCAGGGTTTTGACGTATTTATATATATGATGGAACGACAAGATTTATAAAAAAGTTACCCTTTATCGAGCAGGTATTCGCACCACTTGCTATCTTTTTTACAACTACCCAAGTGACGTCACGCCGCTTGCTTCTCATGGCCGCCGCTCGTGGCTGCAGGTCGGGAAATATTCCAAGTTTTGCCTCGCTATTACGCGGCGGAATCGCAACATTTCGATGAAAGGAGGCGTGCTCTTTGCCATTTGTGACACAGTGAACAATATCAAAAGCAGAAAATGCCAATTCTTTCAACGTTAAAATCGTTGCACAGCTCCTTTAAGGTGAAGGCGCTAAGCTCGTCAGTGGCGTGAGAAGGATGAGATTATGGCATTCGCCGATAAAAATGCCGAAGAACTTTTCACGATGCAGGAAGCGTGAAGAATCACGGCCTGCGTTTCGTGAGCGGTCCGTGAGTGTAGCTACCGCATTGACTCGAGTAATTGACTCACTGTTTACTAACAAAGCCTGCGAAGTCGCTTTCCGATGGAGCAACTGAATAGCCAATCGCCGTGATCGACAGAAAGATGCCAGCGATTTCATGAACATAAATAAAGCTGTCACGCAAAAATGCTATCTAAGCAGAGCGCGTTTTTGTTTGTTTTTTTACCGGCAATTCTGTTTTTTATTTTGTTACTCGCTATTTTTTTTTTTAATGCAGAACGTGATGATTGGCTGTACGTGTGTCCAGAGGGTGAAGTAAACACAAGGGCCTTATTCATCAGTAATGCGTCTATTGCTGGAGTAAATAGCGTACTCCCAAGTGGCGTACCCTCTCCTGCGAGGCCTGGCGACAGCCGACCCTGTAGCTGAGTCCCGTCCTCAGGCGCTCTGCTCGAAGCGCCCTCGAGGCTCTCCAACGCTCCAGGTGATGCCGGATCGTAGACCGCACCTAGCCGAGGAGCAAAGACAAATAACGCGTAGAAACAACAAGGCCCAACTTCCGGTAAGGCGGACACTTTGTAACAGTAAGAAAGCACAAAACAAACAGAGGGACAAAAACAGACATGTACAAGAGGGACAAAAACAGACATGTACATGTAAAAGCATGAAAGCTTGTACATGTCTGTTTTTGTCCCTCTGTTTGTTTTGTGCTTTCTTACTGTTACATCTGTCCCAACACGCTCGTCAAAGTCTCCGGACACTTTAGTTTTACAATTCTTTCTTGTCAAGTGCATGTCTCTGTTTTCCTGTGCTTTAAAAAGCGATCTGGAATTGATTCATCATACATACGGCGCGAAAAGTATAAACAAATTGTATATACTTTTTGCTCACTATTGTTTTTCTTTTTACTTTGTGCATTATTTACTTATGCAGCTTTTGTTGTGCTGTCTTCGCAGTGGTGTTTGCAATGGTGGCTATTTAAATATTTCTTTTGTTTTTTTTACACTTCTGCGCTCCTGTTATAACTCCAAGAAATTATAGGCATGTGTATTTTAATAAAAAAACATTATTCTGCTATACAAAATTGTAAGTCGTGAAACCATGCAAGTTCTCTCAAATTTCACTTATAGACAACATAAAAATATACTAGCATTTTAGTTTTTAAAATAATATTTTTTGATTTTTGAATATGTTCAAACTTTTGTCGGAAAAATCTTGTACTTCTCATTATTTCTGCACATTTACTAGAAAGCAACTGTATGATTATTTTCTAGCCAACTGAAGGGTCTATTCTTATCTTCACTCTTTGTTAATAACGAATAATTAACCTTACAATTTTTTGTTGCCATAGTTTACTGTCAGAACAACATTGTACAAACACCCTGTAGGTTTATATATATATATATATATATATATATATTTCCAATTTATTTGTAGACGCGCCAATGAACTTGCAGTTACCAGTCACAATGTTGGTTTGACGCTACATAAACTATTACGTAAACATTGGACCAAAAAGTTGATACTTGCATTTGTTGTTAAAACTTAAGCGCCTCAATGTAAGTTTGTTATTTTGCAATGCCGCTGCTGTTTGTACGGGTCTCCACTTGATCTGATGGTTTTGCACAAATTTTTGGTTACGGAAAGCTTAATATAATGTCTGAAGTCAACTAAGTTTATTCTAATTTTGGTAACTCAAAACAAAACTGGAGGGCTCGATTTTAAGCTATTAGCGTTGTGACGCTTAGTTGATGTACGCGCTTGAACGTGTAACTGATAAAATATTCTCGATAATTTCATCGCTAAGGAAACATAGCTGGATTCTATGTTTATATAACATGTTATATTTGAACTATGGCAGAGAAGAGCAGTTTACGTACCTCCCCGTTGAAAAAGCAGTACAGTACAGCCACCGTGAAGCCCTAGAGCAAACGGATCAATATTTAGCTTAACATCTTGGACACAATCTCAATTAAAAATAAACATGAATTGAAATTGCATTGAATGCGAGCAAATTGGCCAATTAATGCGACAAACAAGTTAATTTCTTTAAACAATTATATGTGACTGGTTTTTTGTCAGATACTTGGTTGCAATACCTGTCTTGTAACAACACAAAAGCCAACAAGAATTTAAGATGAGAAATTCTGAACTTATTTTTGAAGAATTTAAATTGTTAACCCCATGTAGGGTTATTTATAATATTATGTTGTGAATACTTTATCGAGCGTAGAAGATACTCGACGTCATGGTATATTGTTTGTAGCCGCTTCATCCTATCAAGGAAATGTCATGTTTATGTACAATGCCAGAAAAAAAAAGGTTCATGCTTGCATACTGTCGTTTCTACTTAATATCGGCAGCCTAAATCAAGGCGTTTGCTGACTGCTTCGTTCAAATATTCGTATGAATGGAGATAAAATAGGGCAGCCTCATAGAACTTTTGAGAAACTGTTTTTTTTTAATATAAACATGTTATTGTGGTTATTTCAACCTCAACATTCACACAAAATATTTCAAACACTTATTTTAGAATAGGCGGCTATTAATATTGATATACGCTGACAATTTTTAAATTGTGATGCAGTGATGTCTCGTTAAAATGGACACTTCTGCTTTCCCAGAAAAAATTCCGTAATGTGATTTGTCTATAATAACGAGACAAAAATGCATGCATTTTCTCAGTTTGTCCTTGAAAATGGTGTTTATATGACGACCTATTCATATGAACGAGACATGACTCAATGTTGAATTAATATTGCTATGTGTTGACAATTTTTACTTCCTATTGCCAACGCAACTTCAGTGGCATGACGTCACTTATACGTCAAAGCAGCCTTTCATTAAGCGATACAACACAGCTTAAAATGTTTGTGCTGTCGTAAAAGCGATGTGTTTTGTAGCTGTTTGGAATGTCACATTAACCAATAAAATGGCACAAATGTCCTTTCACTTCTGAAGACGCAAAATTCCGCTTTATAGAAAATCTTACCAGAAAGGCGTGTTCAGTATCGACAAAAATATTTTTATATCAACGAAAGCAGTTGTAGTGAGAATTATATTTTCTTTCTTATTTAGTGCAATTGATTTTTGCTTTTATTTTATAATTACTACCCATGCTATTTTTATGACTGTACAAAGATCCGAAACAGCTCCATAGATGCTTTCAGATAACATTGGGAACCGAACTGCTCCTGTAATGTTCGTGCAAGTATCTCTACTTAAGGATGTCTTTCAGTATTTCGACTTCCCAGTGCTGTTTCTTCAGAAGTTCTAAATCTTTAGATCCTTTCAGAAGCTCGTCACCATTCGCGTATTTTTATTTTACACTCAATCCGCGGATGAAATAAAAGCACATAGAAAATAACAGCTGAGCGGGTAGTTTTTATTAATTCTTTTTTTTTTTTTTTTTTTTTAAGTAACAGAATTGGTCGGTTGTGCGGAGTTTAACGCCCTCCTTCGGGTGAAAGCAGACTTCCTCATGTATAAAAGTCCGTCTGTCGAAGTCTTTTATACTCATTATTATTTCCAATGTTTTCTCAATTTTAGCAAAACCTAGGTTATGGTTTCCCCTCGAAATTACTGATTTCTGAAGAATTGGTGTGTGTTTGGCCCCACTGACACGACTGAGATATATCTCGCGTATGAAATTCATTGGGTCGTGGTCAGGCGATAGGCCCCTTTTAAACGCAATAGCATTTCAAGGCCCGCGAAACTCTGAGATTGTGAGCGTTTGTCCATCGCGGATCTATAGCCAAAATCTGCAAAAAAACAGCAATTAATTTCTTTCCAAACTTAGCAAAAAAAGAAAACTGGAATTCTGTGTAGAGTTATACGCCAACTTAATTCCCCAGATAAATGCAGCTGAAAAGTCGCGTTCACGTATAAGTGTACATAGGTTCACTCTGGGAAGACTTGGCGCGAAAACGGCACCGCTTCAATGAGACGCAGCGAGAACGCCGAGCTCGATGCCCGAAGACGTCCGAAGAGCTTCAAAGGACGCGTCCCAATGCTGTCGCATAGCATCTTACATGGCAGAGACCGGATAAAAGGCCCAGTTATTCGAAACTCACTACCAGTTACGTTCGAAATCACGATACCAAGAGCGGCTTTGTTTCAGGTGCTATGATGACAGGAGTTCCAGATGATACCAAAAAGCCCGGCTGTTACCGACGCTGGGATCAGGCGGAGACTATCAAGGAACGACAAAAGTGTGTCACGACGGCGCTCGTTTTCTGTGTGCGTTAGCCATCATTGGCTCAATCAGTCACGCCCAGAAAATTAAAAAAAGGGGAGGCTCGCGGTGCATTCAGTGTGCGTGATTGGTTGTCGGAGATAGTGAGCGATGAAGGGCGTGACGATGCACCTTGCTTGATTCGCTTTATCAGATCGCAGTCTCGACTGGGTTCAAACTTAAAGGGAAGCTGAAGAGGCCTTTGAATTCGAGCAAAAAGTTAAAGTTGTAGTGGAGACACCTTAAAGGGACACTGGCGGTGACGGGTCATTCATGCTCCTCAAGGCTTTTAAGCCGAAAGCCTTACATGTCCCATTAGCCGAAAAGGCGTCGGCGTTGTCCCCGAAAGGTGGCCATAAAAACACGTCATTAAGCACTCTCCGCTCAAGTTCAAAGCGGACGCGCCTCCAAAATAAAACGCAAAGAAAAGCGCAGCAACGCAGATCTGCTTCACGGAAGCCGGGAAGTCGGCGGGGGCGCCGCGTCTGCGCACTGGGGGTGCGTGAATGTCCCCCCTGGAGCGCCGTGTGCAAAAAGAAGACGTGGCGCGCCGCTTGTACGAATGCGCTGCGTGTATGAATTCTTCCTCATTCCTACAAGTGCTTTCGGCGTGTTTCTGTTTGTACACGACATATGAGAGCCAAACTACCCAGAACACAACTGGCGGCTATGAATTCCTTTTCTTTCCGCCCGGAAACCGCCGATCGAGAACGGGCCGGTTCGAGTCGCGCTCACTTTCTTATTCTTGGTCACGCGCCGTTCTTTAAGGGTTAGAAACAACCGCCAAATTTAATCGAAGTCGTGGAGCATAGAAGGCACATGTAGACTCAATATTAAAGATAGAAACAAATATGATACCCATTTTTTTTGTGGCTTCTAAAAATTTGCTAATACGTTGAATAATTTTTTTTAGACAATTGGATGCACTGTGTGTATTCTTTGCGTAAAGGGCAAATCACACATTTGCGTCGAGTCCGGACGAGTGCGACTGCGAAGGCTTAGGACGTACGGGTTGCTATGGCAACAGCTGCATCGGCTCCAACAAAACCGGTTTTTACCCTGTTTTGTTGGAGCCGACATAGCTGTTGCCATAGCAACCCGTAAAAGTATTAGCGTCGCAAGTCGTTGCAATCGCACTCGATCGGACTCACGCGAGTGCCTGAACCAACCTTAATTCTAAACACGGCGTCGTACTGTCGAGACCGGTGAAGTCAACGGAAATCGGAAATCACTTCGCTATATCCGCTATTTCGTTATAACCGACTTCGTTATAACCCGTCTCGACAGTATCGTGGGAGTCGCGGGATGGATGGCTTAACGAAGCGGACGAAGCGATGGCGGTGGACGACAGGCGTGGGATCTCTACTTCATAACTGTTGTTTTGAAGTAGAGATTTAGAATGTGAGATAAGGGACAAACCAATTAAGTGAAGTCTGACGTCCGTCTTCCAATTAATTTGAAGGAAAAAAACGCCGCAAGAAAATATATTATTAGCCTGGTTAATAATATAATTAATTAGGTTGTGTGAATTTTTACAGCCTAGAGCTTGGTCTGCCTCAACAGGCGACGAGTCTCCCAGCTGTAAATGAGCAATTTAGCCAGTGCAGTATGACTGCTAACCTGGGGTCTTTAACGCGCACCGCGCAGTAGTGATACACGACCGCACGCCGGTACGATGCTCATCCAGATCGAAACATGCAGGGGCGGGGATTGGACGCAGGATCCCTGGGTTCTGCAGCGCGAGATTTCGCTCCACGTGATTTCCATGCAGACGGCTTATTTTCAGCGTCACATACTGCCTGCCTCGGACGGTTTTGTCAGGCACTCACAGGCTGTCTTTGACACGTTCTTCACTCGGGGAGCCAAACCTTTCGTGTGTACATAACATAATTGAATTGGATATCTTAAAAAAAAAAAAAATAGTTACTCCAGACATGGGACCTAGCACCAATGTATAGTTTTTTTTAATTCATAAATTAACTGAGCAAGATAATGTTTATACCGCAAAAACGATTCCCCTTTATATTCCAAAGCAACTGATTTAGATTTGTTATGAGGGCAGAGAACGAATGCTTTCAACAAACACACTTAGTTGATGAACAGAACAGCGCGCACAACGACAGGGACAGAGAAAAGGAACATGCAGGACACACAAGCGCTGACTCGCAACTGAATTTAAACACAAAAGGAAGAAGAAGAAAACGTTCTGAAAGACACGCAGGGCACGCAGTGCTTGTCACACGCGACACAACACCATCTAACTACAATGTCTTTGCCCCATAGTCCGATCTAAAAACAAGGTTTCCGTTTGTAGTAGTGTCACTGATGGGTGGCTGACGCAGCAGTCCCCCAGGCTATTGATGCCATGTGCTTCCAAGATTTCGCGAGTCGTCTTGTCTCGATAGTGTCCAATTATTGTTGTGCCTTTAAGAAGGAGCACACGAACAGGAATTGCATGTTCCTGATCTCTGTCCCTGTCTTTGTGTGCGCTGTTCTGTTCATCATGTCATCATACCAACTCGCCCAACTTACATCACTTAGTTGCTCCCTGCATTGATTAGATTCGCCTCCCTCTTTATGATCATAAATGCGTGATGATAAATATACATTGCGCTTCTTACTGAGTCACTATTACTTAGGCGAATTTGCGCTCTCAAGAATAATTGGCGTCTCAACCCTCGTGTGTCT